CACTTCTCTGATCGGGCAAGATCATGTTGAATTTCATTTTAGAATTTAGCAATGCCACTTTTATGCAACTGTCAGATATTCTGGAACTGGTGCAGAGAGGGAAAGGAAGGGGATCCAGGATTGGGAAGAAGGACTTGCAAGGTGAGGCTGAAGGGACTTGCAGGTGGTGTCTGCACCATCTGATACTTCCTCAAAATGACCAAAGGGGTTGCGCCATCGTGATTTCCAGCTCTGCCCCTTGTGTGGGTGTGGATGTGATGTGAAAACATAGACAAAGGAGGCGGGGCTTGCATCAGGCGGTGCAAAGCTTGGTCATTTGCCCCCTTGAACTACATTTAGCTTTCAAGAAACATGGCCGCAGGGGCACTGGATAGCCCATTTCAAATACCCGAAGGGGTGTCAAACCGAATAAAACCAGAAGAAAAATCTCTTTCCTCCCACAGTGCAAGTTATAGAACAAGGTTCATGTTCCAAGAAGGAAACTCTCTAATGCTAACAGCAGGGTGACCGTGGTGTCCCTTAGGCCAAGGGGTGATGGTTTCCCTTCCCTGCGGGGGTTCAAGCGGAGGCTGGAGAGCCATTGATCGCCAAAGCTTTCGTCTGGATTGGACGCCTTCAGTGTCCCCTTCCGAGTCTAGGAGCCCTGACAGTGGGAACTTTGGAAACCAAGGTTTTAGACTGGTCCTCTGTTTTACTGTTTTTCCTAGCAAGGAGGTAAATAACATTGAGAAGAGGCACCATGCCAGATGTTTCTGCAAAGGTCCTAAGCAGTGCCTGGGAAAGACATCTGTCCCCGTCTGATCCTGCATCTACATATTTATAATGTCAATAAACTTGCTATCACTTTCCTCTCATTTTTACCTGTCCTGGAAACTGCAGTTTAGGGGAGGTGCTGAGAAATTCATGGGGCCAAAAACCCTCCAGAAAGAGACGCTGCCCCTAATTTTCAACACTGAACAGGATGCCCCCACCTGGACGCCCTCCCCATCGGGTCTTGGATGCCACCCAACTGGCCATGTTCCAACAGAAAAAGCAGATGCTGTGCAAATTCCTCGGGAACCCGGACTCAAAAAGAGTTCTGCATTTTCCAGCAGAACACCCAGTTCTTCTGCTGTCTTGAATTACAGCCTTAGGCTTCCTTGAGAAACTACTCTTTCAGAATCACCAAGACAGACGCCTGCCTCTTGTCGGGTCGCAGGTCACCCACGGAAGGCCCACGAGAAAAGCTTAACTCAGCATCCATCTGACCACGAGGATGAGTGTAATTCTGGGTCAGGACCAGCAGCCACATCATCCCACAGGAAAGAGTAGGAGACAGTGCTGCTCCCCCGAAGTCGGGGACAGGCCTACCTCTCTGCTGTTCCAGCGAGTCCTTTTCTTGAACCCCGGCAAAGAGGTTTACCAAACTGGTCTTGCCCACCCCGGGATCGCCGAGAAGCACCACACGGTAGAGGGATTCACACGACTCATCGGAGCTGGAGGACTCGGACAGCCAGCCGCCACAGGGCTCCGGGAGGCAGGCCCGGGGCTCGCAGGACGAGGAGTGTCCCAGCTGCGGGTGGCAGGGCTCAGCCTGCCTGGTCCGAGGGCTCGGCCTCTCCGAATGAGACCCAGGAAGTGGGGTGCTGGCCCGCCGGTGGCAAGGACTCATGCTGTTTCCACGTTGGAGGTTCAGAGTCATCTTCTGCCAAAGAGAATCGGTCCAAGGTTAGCTCTTGGCTGCTCTGAAGGCCACACCTGGTCACACCTGGCCAAGCAGCTTTCATCTGTCTGCAGTGCACACAAGCCCACAGCAAACACCGCCCCATTAACCTCTCTGGGGGAGCCCCCCTGAAGTCACATCATCTGAATAACTGTAAACTGGAGTGGGGGGAGGAATGCCATCACCTTTGGTATCCCGTGGGTTTGGGAGACTGGAAGTGAATAGCGGGATGGGCAACAGAAAGGGCGTCTCTAGCAGGCAACACCCAAAGCGGCCTTTTATGATGGTTTTGCTAGATGCTAACAAGAGTTGACACGTAACTCCAAGTTAGCAGATAATGGAAGGGGCTGGGTTTCTGTAATGCAGAAGGGGGATTGGAGATCTACTGGAAGATTTCTAGTTGTTTTACAGTTGATTGTCAACCATTTGTGACCCTGTCTTTATTAAAAAGGACACTACATTTTTCCGCCTAAATTAGACCCAAAGCGTAAGCTTACTAGAAGTAGATTGTTCTGTAAAGGAGCTATGAACAATTCAGTTCAGTGCTAAGTTTCTTGGCTCAGAGGCATCCCGCTTAAAGTCCAGCTATATATCCTTTGACTCCAACTCTGATGGGTGGATCTTAGTTTTCTGTTAAAAAGCAAAACAAAAAAACGGAGTTGCCCACCTCTGTTTTGGGCTGTGCCTGAATTCCCAGAGCACATTAAAACAGGCCAGCTGCAAACGTAGCAGGCTTCGTTTCTGCAACACGCTGAGCTTAGTTAGGGTTCAGGCTGGCAAAGGATTTTTGTGATTCAAAGTGTTGCGCAGATCCAAAAAGATGATCTCAACGACCAGGTTGAACATTTGTTCCTGGAAGTTATTTGTTGTCCTTAGGCACAAAATTGTTCGCAATTTAAACGGCACACGCACACACACATCCACATCCACACACACACACACAGAATGCTGATGGTTCCAGCTGGTTCACACACACTCAGTTGCTGGCTTTATTTGCAACGTAGACAAAGGTGCCTGTTCTCCTCTGCTGATCTTTGTAGTTGCAGCTCCCTCCCAGAACACACAACTCCCAATCACCATGACACCAGGACAGGAAAGGCTAAACGAAAGGGTGCCGTGTCTTTTGTCCCCTCTGATTTCTCCTCCGAGCTCAGTCTAACATGCAAGTAAAAACTTGTATTTACTGCATTTATCTCAGAGAGTGAATGGAATATTCTCCTGCCCCAAGTCATCCCCCCTCTTCTATGCTCCTCTCTTCTAATCGCTATCGACAAACATTTTGATTCATACATTCCTTGTGGTTTTTTAAATGAATTTGCATAATAGACAGAGAAAGTCCATGGAAATGTATACGCAGCACTATATAAGCTTTCTCAGAATAGATCAGAGCCTCAGTGTTGATATTTTGACACATGAAGTCCCGTGGTTCAAATGAGAAAGCACGACATGCGCGTTGGTGGAACACAAAGATTACGGAAGCAGAAAGGAGACTAACTGGTTGTCAGACTCGATTCATTGGCCACAAACTTGACAGGCCTACCTCGCAGGGGGTCATGGCAGATAATAAAATACAAAATTCTGTACACGTCCATTTCATTTTCTTTCAAAAGATGATAGCATGTGGCTTATTTTGTACCTCTGTGATTAAAGCCCTGTCAGCAATTGGGGTCTGATTGTTCCCACAATCTTTTCTGGTAGAAATCAAGTTAATATTTGAGTATTTGAATTTTATTTATTAGATTTATACCCTGTCCTTTCTCCAGAAGCTGACGTGCCCTATAAAACACTCCTTCCTCCTTTTTTTCCCCACCACAACCCTACGAGCTAGGCTGGGCTGAAAGAGAGGGGCTGGACCCACGTCCCCCAGGGGGCTGTTCCAGGGCAAGGGCGGGGGAGGTGTCTGGAATTAATCACCTGGAGGTCCTACCTGAGATGAAACGTTAGATGAGCTGAGGATGACCGGAGGCCGGGATGGAAGGTCAGTTGCAAGCAGGCATATCTCGGAGTTCAATGAAAGCATCTTCAGGCTCCGCAGAGCTGCTGAAGAACTAAATAAAATGTAAACCTTTCATCCAGCAAATCCAGCTGTTGTAGATGTGGGTTCTGGACCACACGGAGCAACAGACGGGGAGAGACAGATGCTGGCGGGATGACTGAGTTGGAAATGGCTGCAAAGAGAAATCCAGCTAGTCCTGAATTTCAACATTTGCCCTCCCCTCTCATCAAACTAGTTTGTTTATTTTATTATTTCATTTAGCAAATTTATATAGCCGTCCATCTCACAAAAACATGACTCTGGGCAGCGTACAAGCACAATAACAGTTAAAACAATATAACGATCTTTAAAACACTGAAACATTAATAAAAACAAAAACATTGTGTCTCTAGTTCTTCTAGCAAGCAGAGAAAAGAGTAAAAAAGCTGTTTTTGTGCACGGGCATCTTCAGTAATCAGCAGTTGAAAAAGATTGCTGTTTTTTTTCATGAGCTGCAAAATGTTTGGGGCCAAATACCAGTGTTGTGCCCAGAAGAACTGATCTGAAATGCCAGGATCTTTGGAAGCCCAACCATTGACTTCCCCACACATCAGCCTCCCCCGCACAACACCCAGAAGGGGCTGGGAAGCATGACCATTGTAGTCCAACGGATCATCAAATTGGGCAATACCACTTGGCAATTGGGGCAGATCAAAGCAACAGGCTACTGAGTAGTTTTGTTTGTCTCGGTTTCTTTGCTCTTCTTTTAAAATTATTAAAAAACAGAAAAAGAGAGTGATCAAGAAAACACCAAAAATAAAAAGAGCATAAGAACAAAAATAGTTAAAGCTACCCAAAGAAAAAGGAGGAGCCCTGAATAATTTGGGAGAATATCTAAAAACATTTGCAATCTTGAAAAAAAATAAATAAAGATCTATTTCAGCATTACTATCCCCAAAGATATTTTTATAAACTCTTGATGTAGCTAAAAATGGAGACCAAATGCAAATATTGCAATCCCTTACAAAATTATTTAGAATTCTTAGCTGCTGTGTTAACATTTTCATCCACTGTCATTTCCCACATTTTTAAATAGCACTGATCCAAAGAAAAATGTACTTGAAGTTTTCTGTGTTTAATAAATCTGGTGGCTTAATAAGAAACCCTGAGTTCTTGTGTTACAATGTTTTATATGGCCTGGATAATAAATGATTAAGTAAATAATTAATCTTAATAATTAATGATTAAGACCACTCTAATTTTTCCAATTTCCTCCAAAGATTTCAATCAAAATGAGTAACAAAACAGAGAAGCTAAAATGTACCAGTTGCTTACAACTCTTCCTGCACAAAGACTTTGATTAATGCAACAACATTTAAAGGAGACATGGGACTCTCTGGGAATTGTTTTGATAACTCCAACAGGCTGAAAAAGAATTTTACACCATCATGCATTCCAACGGACTAGTTTCCTTGGCTCTTGCTGGGGTCCCTGCGCCCAGACTGCACTCTGCTGCCTATTGTTTTAATTTGAATTTAATTTGAATACTCTGGATCCTCTTCGTGGCTAGATTAACAGGAAGTAAGTCAGCGTACGTGGAAAATCAAGCCAAGGATCCTCAAGCCTCTCTCTGACTGGCATCCTCTACGGGGGTCTGCGTGTGGGTTCCAGTCCAGTTCTGGTTTCTTCCAGGGCACCAGTAACCCAACGCCAGGCAGGGTTTTGCCAGCTTCCAACTTCCAAAACACGGTTAAAAATTCAAAAGGAAAGTGGTTTCCGATTGTCACCGCTGGGGCGGCATAAAATTACACGCGCGCACAGAGGGTGGCCGCAGCCAACCTTGCGATCGGCTGCCAACCCGGAGTCCCAGCTCTAGCGAGGGTCAGGAACAAAGGCGAAGAAGCACCTGGGCATATGCAAAGAGCATTGCCCTATCTTCCCACGAGGGCTGTTCCTAAAGGGGGGGCGGGTTTCCACGGACCCTTTGTAAGGGTCCGGCT